ATCTATCTATCTATCTATCTATCTATCTATCTATCTATCTATCTATCTATCTATCTATCTATCTATCTATCTTATATAATAAATATTATATAGCTCTAAAGATAATAAAATCAAGCATTATGTTTTAAACAGGCTTCTCTGTTGGCTTATATCTTCTGCCTTGACACCTAGGATCTTACTGCCTCTGGAGGTGCAGCTTTGGTCATCCTTAACAATTTCTATTGTGTGTGCAAACTTTTCATATACTAACTAGCCCAGTTATAGGCTACATCACAACACCCTCCTTTATGGACTCCTACAAGGTTCTAACACTCTGGACACTGTCCCTCTGGCCTATACACAGGGCCAGGTACTAGCAACTAGAGACAGTTCTATGCCCCTGACTTTTTTGAAATTATTCCAAGTTGCCAGTTGTAAGTCTCACCAAAAAGGCTTTCCCCACATTTTAGCCTTCCTTCCTCTGCTTGCCAGCTGGCTCTCATGCATCCTCATGGGCCTCATCTTGGAACCATTGATAACAAGCTATCTTTGCTTTTCAGTGGCTGCTGTCATTTGGTCTGTTAGCTTCCCCACACTCAAAAAAAACTTAAAATCTGTATTTTTAAAGCACATTCCAAAGACTATATTTTCTGGAATCATTTTTATAGCTTCTTAGAGCACATTCCTTGGGCATTGCTATAGAAAATTAGCAGCTGGTTCCAGACCCATGGGGTTCACACAGTGGCCTGCTGTGATTGAGGTGGCTGTCATTCAGATTTTTGTTATCTTATGCACACTGGTGGTTTTGTTGCAATGAGGAAAAGTACGATGTACAGGGAACATCCTGGCTGGTTGCTGGGTGAAAAAAGAGGGTGTCTCAGTCTGTAGTCCAGTGTCAAGTTCCAGGGTAACCCAGACCAGACCCTTCTGAAGATGGGGTGATAGACACTGGAAAGCACAGGCATGTAGTGAGAGGGGGTGTTAGGTGGGATTCAGGATACCTATGTCTGTGGCTTTTTCCACTGATTACTCTATTAACTCTCTGGCCTTGAAGGAAAAGGAGAAAGCTATTGAGTTCCTGTTGTTTGCCAGAGGGTGTGTGTTTATGTGTGTTGTATGTATGCATGTGTATGTGTGGTGTGTATGGTACCTGTGTTTGTAGTTCCTGTGTGTGTGTGATGTAGTATGTGGTGTGTATGGTGTGTGTGTATTATGTATGTGTTGTGCTGTTTGTGTTATATGTGTTTATGTGGTGTGTGTGCAGTATGTGGCATATATGTGTGGTTGTGATGTGTGTGTGTGTATGGTGTAGTGTGTGTTTGGTGTATGTATGTGTATGTGGTATCTGTGGCATGTGTGTATGTGTGTGTGGTGTGTATGGTGTGTATGTGGTATGTGTGTAGTATGTGTGTTTGTGATGTGGTGCCGTGCATGTGTGTATGGTATAGTGTGTGTTTGGTGTGTGTATATGTATATGCATGTGGCATATGTGGCACGTATATGGTATGTGTTTGGTGTGTGAGTATGGTGTATACGTGTATAGTGTGTGTGTGTGTGTGTGTGTATGTGTGTGTTTATCATCTGTGACTCCTCCAAAAACTTCATGCAGAATACATAATTAACTCCCTTTTATGGTTGAAGAGATAAGGCCACACAACAAATCTGCAGGTTGTGTCCTGGCTATTCACTGGCTCTAGCTGTAGGGTTTGAATGGCACCATTCTAGGCTTGTGTACTTGTAAACGTTTATTTATAAAACTGAAAGAGTATTGAAGCATAGCTGGGCTGGCAGCGTGCTGGCCTGACATAGACGAAGCTCCACACCTCGTTAAATGAGCAGAGTGCTGCACAGCCTGGAGCCTTAGCTTCCAGGAGGTGGGGCACACACCCAGGCTGCCTCCTGCCTGCCTGTGACCTCCCTTGTTTGTCTGCCATCTAAATGCATGCCTTCTGGGGCCACATGATGGTTGACTTGGCACGAGGATCAGGAGAAAACAAAGGGAAGGACACTGGATTGGTGGTGGACAAAGAGATGGGTGGGTGGTTAGTTTTACCCTGGATGACAAAAAATGAGGGGCCCTGAGCAGAAAGGCAGCTAGGTTGTGAAACAAGAAGTTGTCTACATGGTCTTTGTCTCTCTTTTTATGACACTTACATGGAGTTGCAGTCTGGAGCTTGTTTTTCTTCTTTCTAGAGATAAGACCTTTATGGATCTTAAAAGTTATATTTTAAAAATCTGAAAAACTGGGCCTGGTGGTGCTTACCTGTAATCCCAGTGCTTGGGGTGAAGGTGGGGAGTAGAAGCATGAGAATCAGTTCAGATCAACCTTGGCTCCATAGTGAATCCAGGCCAGACTGGGATACAGAAGACCCTGACCCTGTCACAAGAGTAAAATAAAATCTGAATGATTTGAGTTGCATAGGCGCAAGTGCTTTACCAACAGGTCTTTTGGCATCTGCAGGTCATTCAGAGCCTATTGAATACTAGGATGTTTTCTATGTGATCTCTGCTTAGGAATAGGGGCCATAGATTGCATAGCGCATGTGCAAACAGCCTAGTCATGAGCCAACAATTGTGACATCTCCTTGAAACAATTTCCATCAGTCAAGCCCTACGTTAGCAGGGGAGACACTAGCTGCCCATGGACCTCCAATTGGAATTGTGTGTCTCCAGGAAGCAAACCTGCTAGGAAGATGACTCTGCTATGTGCTTTTGCTTAAATATTTTCCCAAGTGAGTTTTAACCCAGGATTTGAGACCCTTCCAAAGGTAACCACCTTTATGAACAGAGAAAAAAAAGGAAGGTGGATAATCTGAGTTGCCTCCTGTAGAATTGTCCACGTTGTCACGTGGGAAGATGTTTGCACTGGCTCTCTCACCTTTGGTGGGACCAGACAGATGGCACGAGTTGATGTTGTCTCCTAACGGACGCAGCTGTTGCTAGATCACTTGGCAATATTCAAGAAGAGTTTTGGCCCCATGAGGAGGCCATGTGTTTTCCTCCTCCTTTTAGGCTGTTGTTTTCAGATGGAAGGATAAAAATACCCATTGAGGAATACCATGAGAGCTGCCAGAGAAGCTGCTGTGCTGTTCTCTGAGAAGTCTGTTTCAAAATGTTTAATGTTTCCTAACTGAAAAGTATTTGGGCATCTATGCTACCAGTAACTAATGCCCTCTTTGGTTACTGCTGGAAAACAGATGTCAAGATCAGTTCCTGATGGGTTCAAGAGGACTTCCACATGCCTGGAAGATTTTTAAAAATGTCTCCAAGAAACAAAGTATAAATGTAAAACTATCTTCAGAGTTAGAGATCTC